AACCTGCACACTCCAACACCTGTGTGCACTGGGACTGGACCCACACTTCACAGAGGGTGGAGGGTGGTACTGGGACTGGACTGGACCCACACTTCACAGAGGGTGGAGGGTGGTACTGAGCGCTGGGACTGGACCTTAGCTGCACTGGAGCTAGCGGTTGCTATTGTCTCAGGATGATGACATAACATGAGCCGAGTGCCAACAGCAAAAATACCTAAATGTGAACTTCAACATTTAGGGTTTAACTTTTACAGTTAGATTTAAACAGTTAGATTTAAACATTTATTTAAACATTTAGATATAATATTTAAATATGTTTCAATAGTTAAATTGAACATTTAATAAAAATTGGCTAAATGTAGAACAGTGAGCTAAGTAATGAAAAATATGTAGAAAATTGTAAACGTTTAATTTTACACTTGGTCCCTCATAGYTCCATGTTAATGAGTTTGGAGCTTCTTGTTGCTGTTGAACTGTTAAATAAAGTACTTCCTGTCTGTGATGTCACTTCCTGTCTGGTTCCAGTTTGATTAAAGCGTTTGGTTCTGATCCTCCAGTCTTTATTATCCATCACTGAATATAGAAACTGAAACCTCTCCACATGAAACTGTACGTTACAGAGCTGCAGGTCCGGTTCTTCAGGGACCTGAAGCTCACAGAAGCAGGAGGACCGGTCCAACTGTCGGAGACTCGAACCCTGCCAGGATTTGACAGAATGTGAAGGAGTCTTTCTTCTGTTGGTCTTGTTGAAGCCRGGGCTGCAGGAGTTCTGGTCTGACGTGTTGCTGAGCGTCTGGCTTTGATGTTTTGTTTTGTKTCGTCAGCTCCGTTAGCCACGCCCTCTTCTTCCTCCCACAGAAGTTTCGGCAGGTGCAGGGTTGCATCATGCGACACRTCACACCCTGACACGAGACGAGACACTGACAGATAACAGAATAAAACTTTTCACATTCACTCCGTTTAAAAAAAACCTGCTTGTTTGGAGTCTGCAGCTGCTCTTTAAGTCTTCTGCTACTTTTAGCTAGCTTGTTGCTAATTTTAGCACAGAAGCTGCACCCAGCAGGTGTCCTGCAGGACTCACCCTGTGGTCAGATGATGCAGAAATGATGTCGCAGGAGAAATCTGCTCCAGATGTTTGTAAATGAACAGAACGTAAGCTGAGACTCGCTGTGACGTCGTGAAACCACAAACAGCTGAAAGGAAGCGCCTGCTGCACGTCAGGCTCTGCTTTATGAAGCTTGTTTACGAACGAAGGCCAGATACGCCACTTTTCACACAAAGCGTCTGAAAACCCAAAGATGACGTAAAAAATGTGCAGACCCTGAGCCAGCTCTGACCCGAGGTTGTAACAGTTTGTGTTTTTCATCATAGTTTGGTTTTATGTCATTGTGACTTTTTTATTTGTTTTAATACATTTTTACAGTGAATTTGATAGTTTTTATTAGTTATTATTGTATTTTTAATGCTTATTCTTAGTTTAGTTTTTATTAGTTCTAGTATTAGTTATTTTATAGTTTGATTAAACATATTTATCAATTCATCCTCCATCTTGTGATGTTTCTGTGAGTTAACTAACCAACAGGTCACTAGTTAAATCAGTTCATTATAGCAACACCTTCCTAAAATAATTACMCCTCCTTTTAAGTGTTCCTGAATTATAGACCGGTTGTAGACTGACCCCTGACCTGTCTGCACTGTACAGTGTGAGTCCACAGAGCCAGCAGCACCAACAGGTCTCAGAACCTGTTTTATCTTCATTTAAACASAAGGTTTAGCTCCGCCCACATTTTAAYGTCCCTTAAACAGTTCTGCAGGTTCTCAGCCCTCCGAGCTCCAACACATCACATCACATCACTCATGCAGTAATTATCCAACAGGAGGCTCACATTTGCTTTGTTTAATCCAGGTGGAGATGGGTTTGTGGCCAGGCTGCGTGCAGTGTACTGTCTMCTGCATGTAAGATACTGACTGCTGATAGTGACTCACAGGTTGTGCTGTAAATATGATCAAAGGGATTTTAAGTCTCCTGCTCTAGGATCACGGTCAGGTCAGGGTCTGTGCTGGATTAGACCTGATGAGTCAGACCTGCAGTGTTTCATCTGGATTACATCATCAGGATGAAGGAAATCATCGTGTTGTGAGTGTAAAGGAAACATGAGTCACCGACGAAAAACAAGAGTCTTTTCCCACATGTGACAGAAAAACTCTGGGAGAGATTTGATCTTCAGCTGAAGAAACATTTGTTTCTACAAACTTTTAATGTAAATGTGACCCATCATGTCCAAATGATGATGTCAAAATGACCTCATCATTTTTTCAGATTCTGGCTTTAAAARCTACATTTTGATCCGTGGATCATCTGACGTCACAGATATGACTTCATTTGTTTTGTTTGTTACAGTAATACATAAATATTTGTTCTGAGTCCTCATTTGATGTCGTTATAAAGAGGAAACTTCAAATAATGAGATTTCCCAGCCTGTGATGGACTGAGACCTGTCCTGAGTGTCCCCCACCCCCACACTGTGACCCCCATGACCTGACAGGAAGGAGTGGATATAGAGGCTGGACGGATGGATGGATGGATGGATGGATGGATGGATGATGGTTGGATGGATGGATGGATGGATGGATGGATGGTTGGATGGATGGTTGGATGGATGGATGGATAGTTGGATGGATGGATGGATGAATGGCTGGATGGATGGATGGATGGATGAATGGTTGGATAGATGGATGGATGGTTGGATGGATGGCTGGATGGTTGGATGGATGGATGGATGGATGGATGGATGGATGAATGGCTGGCTGGCTGACTGGCTGGCTGGATGGATGGATGGATGGATGGATGGATGGATGATGGATGGTTGGTTGTATGATGGATGGATGGATGGTTGGATAGATGGATGGATGGATGGTTGGATGGATGTATGAATGGTTGGATGGATGGCTGGATGTATGGATGGTTGTATGGATGGCTGGATGGCTGGTTGGATAGATGGATGGATGGATGGATGGATGGATGGATGGATGGATGGATGGTTGGTTGGATGGATGGATGGATGGATGGATGGATGGATGGATGGATGAATGAATGGTTGGATGGATAGGTGGATGGATGGATGGATGGTTGGATGGATGGATGGATGGTTGGTTGGATGGATGGATGGTTGGATGGCTGGTTGGATAGATGGATGTTGTATGGATGGATGGTTGGAAGGATAGATGGATGGATGGATGGATGGATGGATGGATGGATGGATGGCTGGTTGGATAGATGGATGTTGGATGGATGGATGGTTGGAAGGATAGATGGATGGATGGATGGATGGATGGATGGCTGGATGGCTGGTTGGATAGATGGATGGTTGGATGGCTGGTTGGATAGATGGATGGTTCCATGGATGGTTGCATGGATGGATGATGGATGGATGATGGATGGATGATGGATGGATGATGGATGGATGATGGATGGATGATGGATTTCTGAGCTTGGTTTTTCTTCAAAATATAAATATTTTGTTTCTGCTGCTTCTGATGAAACATTAATAATCAGGTTTTTATTCATTCTGTTTTGATCAAAACGCTCCACGTCCCACTTTCAGACTGGATCCAGGTTTCAGGTCTCAGATGAAGAAAATAAAACAAAGTGATGAAATAATGAAATATAAAGTTTGAAATGTTTGATTTGAGCTGAGGAGCTTTGATGTTTCACTTTGATCTTTGATTGTTTTATCTTTGTGTTATTTACAGGTTAAACTTTGTGTTGTTTACAGGTTAAACTTTGTGTTGTTTACAGGTTAAACTTTGTGTTGTTTACTGGTTAAACTTTGTGTTGTTTACTGGTTAAACTTTGTGTTGTTTACTGGTTAAACTTTGTGTTGTTTACTGGTTAAACTTTGTGTTGTTTACTGGTTAAACTTTGTGTTTGTGTTTTATTTTCCTGTTTGTTTCTGGACAGATTTGGAACATTTTCAGGATAAACTCATGTTTATTATTGTGTCCTGTCCCTTTGAAACAAACAAACAAACAAACAAACAAACAAACAGACAGAAATGAAATCAGGATGTTTTTATTCAGAACCACAGGACAAACAGAACATCAGCAGGTCAAATAAATAAACAGAAACCAGGGTTCAGGTCCTGTCCTCACACTGAGACCAGTTCAGAGGACTTCCAAAGATCTGAACCTCCTCAGCTGAACCAGGACCTGATGAGACCAGCAGAACCACATCGTGATCCAGAACCAGGAGGGGTCTCAGAGAGGTCCGTCTGCTTAAATACAAATAGAATAAATCAAGAGGAGAGCAGACCCAGAACCGGACCCCCTCCTCCTACAAACAGGATCAGGGTCCAGGGGCAGGAGTCCGTCCAGCAGGACTGAAGGCTCGGACTCTTGGTTTGGTTCCACAGGGTCAGTTCTGAGACGTGACCCGGGTCCAGTCTGTGTTTTTATCCTGGAAATAGGAACAGAAACTGAAGACAGACCGGGTCTCACTGGAGAGAAAAGCCGAACCAGGACTTCTGGACCAGCTCAGACCCGTTCACCAGCAGAACACTGAGCCGGTCTCCTTYCGTCAGTTCAAAGAGCTGACCCATGAAGACGCTGCGAAACAACGGGACCAGAGGCCTTTCGGGACCGGGGCAGTTCAGACTTTCGTGGACCCAGGTCAGGTTTTCGTAGCGGTCGTAGCCTTTGGGCAGGCGCAGCAGCTTCACAGAGAAAAAGGCTTCAGGTGAGGAGCTGCAGCTGAGGGAGAACCTCACGTAGACCAAATAAACTCCATCTGCAGGAACCAGGACGGAGCGGTTCTGTTGGTCCAAGAGCTGAGACTCATCGAGGCTGGGGAGCCAGGGTACCGAGGATTTATCAGATACATGTTCATCTCCTTCTGCAGCGAGACAAGACAACAATCAGCTAAAGTTCAGCTGCTGATGAAATCTGCAGCATCTTGTTTCCTCAAACTAACAGACTTACCCAGGTGAATGATGCCCCGCCCCCTGCCTCCACTCTCACCTGTAAACACAAGCAGGTGATGATGATGATGAAATCAGTGTTTGGGTTCAACCGAGCACAGAAGGTAAGTGTCTTACCTGCAGCGCATAAAWTCTGTTTCTGAGGAGCGAAGCCGGGCTCTGAGCTCTGAGTCTGAAGAGGAAACAATCATAAAAACACGATTTTAATCTTTCACTGAATGAACAAAACATCTGGTTTTAAAGTTTTCATGTCAGACTGTGCAGGAGGTGTGTGTGTGTCTGTGTGTGTCTGACCTGTTGGTGGTCCTTCAGGGTCCTCCAGCTGGTGAAAAGAACCAGAGCAGAGCAGCTGAGCAGCAGCATCAGAGTGATGGTCCTGAGCCGGCCCTCCTGCTGCTTCATGTCCCGGCAGTGCCTGATCAGGACCAGGACAGAGTCCTCCGAGTGGGTCCCCATGTCCAGCTCTCTGGACTCTGTGGGACCCATGAGTCTGTGATCCATGAGTCTGTGATCCATCAGTCTGTGGTCCATGAGTCTAACCCTGGAGAGGAAACCGCTGCAGTTTTATAGTCAGCTGACACCCACATGAAACTTCTCATTTCTTAATCCAACACACAGATGAGACTGAGGAGGAGCCACACACACACACACACACACACACACACACACACACA